TAGAAAAACTAATATCGTTTCACAGTGCATCATAGTGAATTCTCAAAGCGATTGATGTCCAGATGATTAAAACAAATTGAAGTTGAATTCTAACTGCAAATTAGTTGAGGAAGGATGCAACTGTTAGCTTAGTGATATATATTTAAGAGATTCATAGCCATTATTATGCAATACGTATTAATGTAAACACAAATCAGGCATGCATCAACTAGTAATATACTGTGTAAAATCCTGATTGTAAACTGCAAATCAAACCAAAATATACATTGGAATGATCATCGATCAAAAAAAACTTATAACCACTGGCAAGACGTTACTTTAAAATACCCAACACATCAAAATTAAATCATGATCATAGAAAATAAATTCAAACAAGGCGTGAAAAATTGTTAACATAAAACAGATCCAAATGTAACGATATCTACCAAAACTAAACGGCCCGATCGAAGCTGCTACCTTGACGCGGTGGTCAGGCTTGCCTATCGTGATGACCCAACCGAGCTATATTGGCTGGAACATATGTTCCCGCAGGTTCTACCATGCCAGGCAGGTCGATTGGTGAACGGTAAGACTAAAAGCAGCAACTCATGGTCTGAGGGCGAAGTCGTACTGCTGACTGTAGAGAGGTGTGACAGCAGTAAGGTGTTTCCCTCGGACAACCAGCATGACAGCGATGCTGCCTTCCCACAAGGAGGGGTGGGGTTAGAAACGGTCGACCCTAAAAATGTCAAACCTAACCTTACCTCACGGATTTCCGTCTCCGGCGGCAAGGCCCTTTGAACAACGGAGCTAACACATTAAAAACCTTCCACGAAAAGGCCATGCGCGACCGGCCTCAAGCAGTTGTCCCTTGGGCTCTGCGGTCACGCTCCCAGATCGTCAAAACCAACACTAATCCAATTTCCTTTTCAGGTTCCTCAAGAAATACCCTTCCACGGTGTGGGCAGCCGGGAAGTGACATCAGCCCTCATACCCGTAACAGCACAAGAGACCAAGGTGGTCACATTCAAATCCTTCCTACACCTCCTAATACCTCTCTTATCCTCCCGACTAACCCTCCTCACGTCTCTTTATCACCTCGCACCGCTAGGGCAAACAATTCGAGTACGTGAAACGCCATTCCTGGTCTCCTGAAACCACGCTCTAAACTACACGTAGGAGATTTTAACGTACGAACACTTTGCCAAATAGGACAGCAGGCTTCCTTAGCTAAAACTTTAGAATCTCGCGCCATCGATGTGTGCTGCGTCTCCGAAACGCGCATACAGGATCCAAGTAGCGTCATTCATTTGACCTCACCATGCCAAAATAAAGAACCGACTCGATTTACGCTTCGTGTATCTGGAAGCCCTGATTCTGCTTCCCGTGGCCTCGCCGGCGTAGGTATAGCATTGAGTCCTAGGGCAGAACTAGCTCTCTTAGAGTGGATCCCAGTAGACAGTCGTTTGTGCGCTGTCCGACTGAACGGAACAGTAAGAATCCGGAAAGATAGGGACACTCGTCGTTGCCTCTTCGTCGTCTCTGCCTATTCTCCCACTGACTGCAGCTCAGATGATGTGAAAGATGAGTTTTACAGAAAGCTTTCGGACCTTCTCCGAAAAGCTAAGCGCTCGGATGTAGTAATAATGGCCGGTGACTTTAATGCTCAAGTAGGTAAACTAAGCGATAGGGAAAGACACCTAGGTGGATCTTATGGTGTCGTGGCTCAAAGAACAGATAATGGCGACCGTCTGTTGCAGCTATGCTCAGATAACCGCCTGTTCCTTGCAAATACTAACTTTAAGCATAAGGAAAAACATCTTTTAACATGGCGACCCCCTAATTCATCCCAACGTTGGACCCAAATAGATCACATCGCTATCAGCCACCGACGGAGGGGCTCGATAGAAGACTGTCGCTCATTCTGGAGCACATGCCTAGATTCAGATCATGCTCTAGTGCGAGCGCGTATTTGCTTGCGTCTTACTGGACGTAGGAAAGACGCTGCAAGGAAACCTCTTAGGGGCCTACTTAATGATAGTCAAGCTAAGAGTATATTTCAGGAACAACTAGGAAAACAGTTAGGCGGCCATGTATGTGATGCCCACCCCGATGCAGCATGGAATTATATCCGAAAAGCTGTGGAAACAGCAGTGATATCTGCAAGTACGGTAAACCAGAAGGTTAGGGAGCAACACTGGATCTCAGCAGCATCTATCTCACTGATAGATGCTCGGAAACTCATTCCACCAGGGCTCTGAACATAATGAAGAGCGGAGTCAGCTTAAGCGCAAGCTGACAAGAAGTCTACGTGATGATCGCGAACAGTGGTGGGTAGCGAAAGCAAGAGAGATGGAAAAGGCAGCGGCAATAGGTAATAGCAGACAATTGTTTAGACTCGTTAAGGAAACCGGAATTAGGAACCCCACCGTTAGCGAAACAATCTCAGAGAAAGATGGACATATTATTCATTCTCAATCCAGTAGATTGGATCGATGGGCAGAACACTTTAGGGATCAGTTCAACTGGCCTTCAGCCACACTTCGGTTTCCCACGATCTCTAGTCAACGTGAATGGCAAGTTAATGTAGGTCCTCCGTCCCTTTACGAAGTTGAAAAAGCCATAGGAAATCTGAAACGAGGGAGAGCAGCAGACCCTGACAGGTTTACTCCTGAGATTTTTAAGGATGGTGGTCCAGTATTAGCAATGAGATTAACCGAGGTCTTAGGTAGAATTTGGGAACTGGACGTAATCCCATCTGACTGGTCTCAATCACTGATTGTGCCAGTCTATAAGAAAGGACAAAAGTCCTCTTGTGACAATCACAGAGGAATCAGTTTGACTAATATTGTGTCTAAAATATTAGCCTCAATAATACTTCGACGCCTAATCAAAACTCGTGTAGAGCAGATTAGAGAAAACCAGGCTGGTTTTCGACCTGGACGTGGTTGTATAGATCAGATATTCACACTACGTCAGGTTCTAGAACACAGACACACATTCAGACGCCCCACAATGGTAGTATTTCTCGACCTTAAGGCGGCATTCGACTCCGTTGATCGTGAGGTTCTATGGCAATGTTTGTCACTGAAAGGAGTACCAAAGAAGTACATTAACCTTATAAAGGCTCTCTACTCGAACACAACTGGTAGAGTAAGAGCTTATGGCGAACTGTCATCAGAATTGATCACCTCAAGTGGTGTTCGTCAGGGCTGTCCACTCTCCCCATTCTTGTTCAACTTTGTGGTCGACGTACTTTTAGAGATAACACTCTCCTCTAAATTTCCAGGGCTTGAACTTGTACCGGGAGGTTCACTTGTTGACTTAGAATATGCAGATGACATAGTTTTATTTGGTGAAGACGCTGACAAAATGCAGAGTCTTCTGACCACTCTAAGCAACAATGCAAGCATGTTCGGGATGCGATTCTCTCCCTCGAAATGCAAAATGTTGCTTCAGGATTGGGTTACATCGACACCCGAACTAGTGATAGGGAGTAAAGTAGTTGAGTGTGTCGGCCGCTTCACTTATCTTGGAAGTCTCATCAGCCCTTGTGGTTTAGTGTGTGACGAAATCTCAGCACGGATACAGAAGGCTCGACTAGCTTTTGCCAACTTGCGTCATTTATGGCGTAGGCGAGATATCCGTCTATCAACCAAAGGACGTGTTTACTGCGCAGCAGTTCGTTCCGTCCTACTTTATGGCAGTGAAACATGGCCGGTAAGAGTAGAGGATATCCGTAGGCTATTAGTATTTGATCATAGGTGTCTTCGGAATATTGCTCGTATATCTTGGGACCATCGAGTAAGTAACACAGTTGTTAGGAAACGGGTACTAGGTAAGGATGGCAAATCAATTGATGAAGTAGTGAAACTTCATCAGTTGAGATGGCTGGGACACGTGTTGCGTATGCCCAACGACCGACTGCCTCGACGTGCTATGTTCAGTGGTATAGGAGTAGGTTGGAAGAAAGCTAGGGGTGGCCAAACCACAACATGGCACAAGTCCATGAAGTCACTGACAAGTGAACTGAGTCATGTTGGTAGGTGTAGACTACCTGGTTGGGGACCGCGAGATGATAGCAACCGATGGTTAGAGACCCAGAATGACATGGCTCAAAATCGTTGGCAATGGCGCAGGTGCATCCACTCTCTGTGTTCTCCCAAATTCTAATCTTCTGAATTCTTCATGTCCCTTTTTTCCTCTTTCCAAATTTATTTCACTGGATTATACTCTTTAAATAACATCTCCAAACCCTAATCTTCCCGATTACTGCTTATACTCTTATTACCTCTATCACTACGGGATTTGAATCGACAAGCGCATCTCTGTGCTAATGTGGTGTGGCAACTCGAACTGATGTACGTACGTACGAAGTTCTACGTTGTTACTGACTGAAAACTAAACGAGACGATTGTGAAACGTAACTTCACTGCACAGAATTTACTGTTTGAGAGTATTATGACTGAGGGTAGTCACAGAAAGAGATTGATTCATAATTATCGTTATCAACAAGACAGTTAAGAATTTTTGTGTAATACGGAAAAACAATGATTATAGTCTTACTACTTACTAAAAATAAGTAGCACAAATAAAAACCAAAGCTTTCACTAGTCTATTGAAAAGAGATAAATGAATATATTAGCAAATGATCACAGACTTACAATTTTATTATTCATGAAGTTATACAAGTTGGTAAGGACAGAAATTTTAGTAATGTGAGACAGGTGGTCATCACATTGTTTTTGTGTACTTTATTATTATTATTTTTCTTTGTTACGGCTTACCTTTAACCCGTCTAGTTGACCTTTTAATTTTCATATAAAAATGTCTTAACAAGTATATGTGTGGTCAGATTGTTCGAAATGCATTGCGTAAATATACTACATAATTCCGATAAACTTCGTCTTCTCATTGCATTGTCGTAACGTAAGAGAATCATGATGCTTTGTTCGAAAACAAAATGGTCTATATGTTAACTATACGCTCCAATTTATGGAAAAGCTGTGAACAAAAGTCAATTTTTAGTAGGAAAAATTTGTATTTACATATAAAAGAAGAGTAATAATTTTACAAATACATCACTAAGTAAAGATGACATCATGATTGGATCGCTAAATAAACTTATCGAAATATAAAATGGTGCTATACCAAACCATATTTTTGTACAGCTTTTAACAGTATCAATTGAAGAAACTAAAAATATGCTAAACACGAGGTTTTCGGTCTACAAGCAGTGATGGCTGCGTTGAAGTGCTTGGTGATGGTCCTGGGACAACAGAAACACCGGGTAATGTAGGCAGCCGTGTAGGTAACTTAGCTGGAGAATTGCAGCTGTTCTGAAGATTTTCTTCTTTCCCAGAAGATGCCTGGAAAAGTAAAAAAAACAGAGATATTCTATGAAAAAAACAGAGTATTTCCAAAAGACATGAGTTGGGTGATTCTAAAAGTCATGAAGTAACTGTTAATCGACCTGACTTAGTGAAAGGATATTCATTCTGTTAAACAACACAATCATAGCTCAGTCAACCAAAATAAAAGAACGCAGCACAAAATAAACATCACTAAAAGTTACCATAAGCCAAGACCACAGCGAGATAACACCGTTAGGGCAAGTCCCAGAACAGGAGAAGCATTAAAAGGACAGGCACAATTCGAAAAGACTGGGTATCAAAGATACGATTAAAGAAATCTGAACGACTGACGCAAAATGTATGGGATCTAGAAGCTCAGAATTTGGGAGAGAAACAAACACTGAATCTACCAGCCCAATTGTAAAAATATTGAACCATTTCATTCAGCCTTTAAAAACTCGTTACCACGATCACGCAGCCTACAAAAATTTGGCATAAACCCACTAACATGTCTCAGCCCTATTACGAATGACTTCATAGACTGATGACATTCTTGATTTGACCACCCCTAGGTCTGATCCAGTCTACTCCTACACCAAAAAACACCGCTCGGCAAGGAACACGGTGGTTTGGCATGCGTAAGATGCCCCAAACACCTCGATTGATGAAGATTTACTACGTTGTCAATCGATTTGCCATCCTTACTCAGTACCCTATTCCTAACCCAGGCAGTGCTTCGAAGAAAACTGTGATCGAATAACAGTAACCTACGAATATTCTCTATTCCTAATGACCATGTGTCACATCCATAAATTAGAACGGAGCGAACTGCTGTGTAGTAAACGCGTCCTTTGATTGAAATATGGATATCTCACCTACACCACAAGTAACGCAAGTTGGCAAAAGCCGATTGGGACTTCTGAATCCGTGTAGAGATTTCGTCAGACATCAGGACTGATGAGGATCCCAAGGTGAATAGAGTGGTTGATACTCTCTACTACTTAATTCTCCATCACTAACTCAGGCACTGACGCAAGCCCATCCTGAAGCAACATTTTGCAATTGCAAGGTGAGAATCCCATCCCAAACATGTTTGCATTATTGTATAAAGTGGTCAAAAGATTGCATTTGTCAGCGTCCTCACCAAACAGATTTATGACATTTGAGTATTCTAAGCAAACAAGTGAATCTTCTGACAGAAGATCAACCGCTGAAAAGTTAGAAGAGGAAAATGTTATCTCTAAAAGCATGTCTATAACAAAGTCAAATGAAAATGGGGAAAGCGGACAACGCTGACGAGTACCAATTAAAGCAATTAATCCCGATGACAGTTTGCAATGAGCTCTGGTTCGACTAATTGAGTCAAAGAGCTTTCAAGCGGTTTATTTACTGCTTTCAATGATTTTTTTTCGAAAAACCTGTTGGGTGTCGGTATGTATGTTTACGTTCCAAACAGATAATTTAAGTTTTATTTTCCCTAGCTACTTTCAAATTTTTGATTTTTTTTGTCTATGTCGATCTTTTAGCTATGCTTACTTCAAATAAAAACGAATGGTGTGTTACACACACTGTAAATATCTACGGCGCTTACTAGTAAAAGTGCGTGTAAATTAAACAAAATAAACTAGAAATATTGTGATCACCAAACAAGAATTATAATCCAAGTTTCTGCTTTCTACCGAAAGAGTAAAGTAGTTCAAACATCAAAAATAGTACGAAATAGTTGTCCGTGCTTTCTGGTTATGGTGGGTTTTTTGAGATCACTTCATGATTTAGACTATGATCATTAATAATTTTTCAGTGAAGTCTGACTTAAATCTTCAATGGTTTTGATAACGTGAATAAATACAGATTAAATGATTACATTAGTTGTGTGAATAGATTCTTGGAAATATCTTACAGTTTGAGCTGATGTAAAAGAAACGACTCCACTCGCGTTAACTGCAGAAGTAACTGTCGGTACAGATGACGTTTGTCCTGAGTTGGTCAGATTTTGAATAAAACTTGCCGATGGGACAGGAAAACGATTCATCCAATCAGCAAGTAGGGTATCTGTTCTTTGAACTTGAAATAAATTTGCACTTTTATATAGATCTCTTTCAGTATTTGAGGTAGACTGAGATTTTGTGTAAGTTTGATCTGGTTCTTTATTATATCCAAGCAAAACATTAGGGTCATCCCATGAATAGGAACCGTCTGAAGGATGATATCGAGCACAAGGACCTAATGTCTACAAAAGCACAAGTTTAATGATTACTAATGAGTGAATTATATCAGTATAAAGCTTTTTGTATTTTTCAAATCAGATTTTTCTCTTAAGTAAGACTACTATAACGAGATTACATAAATCTTTGTAATTCGATGTTAAAGATGCGAAACCATGTCCCTTTGGAAACTAAGTTTATGCACTAAATCGAAGGTCAAAAAAGGAGAGATGACTCAGATGGGGTGGCATCAATTGTAATACCCATAATTAAAAAATACATTGACTCAAGTGACGGCAACGAGAACACATGATTAGAATACTTTTAAATGCTTACCATGATTTGGATACACCTGTCGTGTACATAACTACTATGGAGGACAACTGGAAAAGCATCAAGGAAGCATTAACTTCAACGTGTCAAGAGGTTCTCGGTCTAAAGAAATACCATCATAAAGAATGGATCTCTACAGAAACACTGGACAAGATCAAAGAAAGGAAGAACAAGAAGGCAGCAATAAACAACAGCCGAACACGAGCAGAGAAAGTCCAAGCACAAGCTGAATACATAGAAGCAAACAAGCAAGTGAAGAGGAGCATTAGAGCTGACAAGAAGAAATACGTGGAAGAATTAGCAACGACGGCAGAAAAAGCTGCTAGAGAAGGAAATATGAGACAACTTTACGATACAACGAAGAAACTAGCAGGGAAATACAACAAACCAGAGAGGCCGGTCAAAGACAAGGAGGGCAAGCCAATCACTGAAATTCAACAACAGCGTAACAGATGGGTAGAATACTTTGAGGAACTCCTGAATAGGCCGGCTCCTATGAATCCACCGAACATCGAAGCAGCACACACAGATCTTCCTATAGATGTCAACCCACCAACGACGGAAGAAATTAGAGCGGCCGTCAGACAAATCAAGAACGGGAAAGCAGCAGGACCCGACAACATACCAGCTGAAGCACTGAAATCAGACGTCGAAGTAACCACAAGCATGCTTTACCCTCTATTCAAAAAGATTTGGGAGGAGGAACAAGTGCCAATGGACTGGAAAGAAGGGCACCTCGTCAAGATTCCAAAGAAAGGAGATCTGAGCAAATGTGAAAACTACAGAGGCATAACACTACTGTCAATACCAGGGAAGGTCTTCAACAGAGTTTTGCTGAACCGGATGAAGGATGCAGTAGACGCTCAACTTCGAGATCAACAAGCTGGATTCCGTAAGGATCGGTCGTGCACAGACCAAATTGCAACACTACGGATCATCGTCGAACAATCGGTTGAGTGGAACTCGTCACTATACATCAACTTCATTGATTATGAAAAGGCATTTGACAGTGTAGATAGGAGGACATTATGGAAACTTCTTCGACACTACGGAATTCCTGAGAAGATTGTCAATATTATCCGGAACTCATACGACGGACTACAGTGCAAGGTCGTGCATGGAGGACAGCTGACAGATGCATTCCAAGTAAGGACCGGGGTCAGACAAGGCTGTTTACTCTCTCCCTTTCTCTTTCTTCTGGTGGTCGACTGGATTATGAAGACCTCGACATCTGAAGGAAAACACGGAATACAATGGACAGCTCAGAACCAATTAGACGATCTGGACTTCGCAGATGACCTAGCTCTTATATCACGTACACACGAACAGATGCAGATGAAGACAGCCAGTGTAGCAGCAGTCTCTGCATCAGTAGGCCTCAGTATACACAAAGGGAAAACGAAGGTCCTCAAATTCAAAGCGGAAAACAGCAATCCAATCACTCTTGATGGCGAAACTCTGGAAGATGTAGAATCCTTCACATACCTGGGAAGCATCGTCGATGGACAAGGAGGTTCAGATGCAGACGTAAAGGCGAGGATTGGCAAAGCAAGGGCCGCATTCCTACAATTGAAGAACATATGGAATTCAAAACAACTTTCAACCAATATCAAAGTGAGAATCTTCAATACGAACGTCAAGGCAGTTCTACTGTATGGAGCTGAAACTTGGAGAACTACAACAACCACAATCAAGAAAGTACAAGTATTTATAAATAGCTGTCTACGCAAGATACTCAACATCCATTGGCCAGATACCATCAGCAATAGCCTTCTGTGGGAGAGAACAAACCAACTTCCAGCTGAAGAGGAAATTAGGAGAAGACGATGGAAATGGATAGGACATACATTACGCAAATCGTCAAACTGTATCACGAGACAAGCCCTAACTTGGAATCCTGAAGGGAAGCGGAAAAGAGGAAGGCCAAAGAACACATTACGTCGGATAATAGAAGCAGATATGAAAAGGATGAATTACAACTGGACGGAGCTGGAAAGGATTGCCCAGGACAGGGTTGGATGGAGAATGCTGGTGAGCGGCCTATGCTCCTTCACGAGGAGTAACAGGCGTAAGTAAGTAAGTAAGTAAGTGTCGTGTACATAAACGGTACCTTGTGAATCCCTATATTAGAATACACATAAACGACGCTGAGGCCATGTAGACAAGGCTCGAAAACTATCTTCAACCAAATAAAGAGCCACATGGAAGAATGGACCAATAATTATGCCACAGTCTTCTATGCAAAAGCTGTTAAACAACATCACAGGAATTGTTTTGGTGACAGACGAAAACATTATACGCTGTGATATGTACTTGTAACTTATTGAGTGCAGGCTTCAGTAGAAATCCAAAAACAATTAAACATTGACAACATTAAAGAAAACCTGATTATTCTGTTGGAAGTTTTGTCAAATTCACGATCTATTTAACATGTTATACACACAAAACAGACAGTGTTTCCAAATTGAAATTCAAACCATGAGAATAAGAATAATGATGCCAAAACCAAAATAATACCTGGATTACTTTCTTCAACCCTACAATCGCTGTCAACAAACGAGAGTTCAGGAGAGTAGAAAGATCTGGCGCTTGAAGTACTGTCCCATTAATCACATAGTAATAAGCCAATGGAGTGACTTGAGTTGGAGATAAACGTTGCTGCTTTCGTATTATGAACAGTATGGGTTCCTATAAAAAATGAAACAAAATAAACAATCCTTTTTACTTTCATTTCTTCTAACGTAGGTCTTGGTTTTTAAATAAAAAAATTCTTTTTTATGGACGAGATTCACTACTCTAATTAAGCACCCAATGATATCTAATGAGACTCGCTAATACAAAATCTTTCGAAAAAGCTACATTGCTTTTCCTAGTAAAAAGATTTTGACACAACTAGCGCATAGAATTGAACATTTGAGCTACACAGAATCCAGTCTACGATAGAAAATAATAACATGATTGACGTCTAAGTGTATTCACAAAACTAAATAAATCTTTCGACAATAGATCTATAGCACGTGTAGGAAGCAATTTCCTACAGGTGTAACTCCAAGTTATTCTCTAGACTGTCGAGCACAGAGTCTTGGTTTAGCCAAAGTCAGAACAAGTAAGCTATTTGGCTTGATAAACTTTATCTGTTTCTAAGACATAAATTAACACCGTTAATGTACAAAATAAGCAGTACAGTCTATTAAAACAGGGAAAAACGGAGACAAATAACATACCGAACAGTAACTAGAAGATAGGGGAAATGAGTCAACAAGGCGAATATTGTTTTATAATGAACATAAAAATTGTGATTGATGAATAAGAAAGACATAGTCATACAAGGTAAAAGAAAGTTAATGCGGTGGTGGGCGTTTCACTTTATCATTGGTGAGTTCGTTTATCGATCACACTTTACAACACGCTCACCTCCACTTGAGTTTGTATGTTTAAGTCTTAACTAGAATTTGGAAGAAATCCAGTCTGACAGGTCATGATTGCTCAAATTTATAAAAAGGAGAAAAATATTCTTGTGACAATAACAGACGAACTAGTTTAACTAATATGATATCTAAAATATTAGCCTCATTGATAATTCGACGCCAAACCAGAGTTTGTAAAGAGCAAACCCAAGAAAACCAGGTGTATTTCATGCATGGACGTGGATGTATAGATCAGATATCGAGCAACTAAAAGCTTTTTACTGAAAAAGCATTGGTTGATATAAAGTATATTGCAAACTGTCATCGGGATTAATTGCTTTAATTGGTACTCGTCAGCGTTGTCCGCTTTCCCCATTTTCATTTGACTTTGTTATAGACATGCTTTTAGAGATAACATTTTCCTCTTCTAACTTTTCAGCGGTTGATCTTCTGTCAGAAGATTCACTTGTTTGCTTAGAATACTCAAATGTCATAAATCTGTTTGGTGAGGACGCTGACAAATGCAATCTTTTGACCACTTTATACAATAATGCAAACATGTTTGGGATGGGATTCTCACCTTGCAATTGCAAAATGTTGCTTCAGGATGGGCTTGCGTCAGTGCCTGAGTTAGTGATGGAGAATTAAGTAGTAGAGAGTATCAACCACTCTATTCACCTTGGGATCCTCATCAGTCCTGATGTCTGACGAAATCTCTACACGGATTCAGAAGTCCCAATCGGCTTTTGCCAACTTGCGTTACTTGTGGTGTAGGTGAGATATCCATATTTCAATCAAAGGACGCGTTTACTACACAGCAGTTCGCTCCGTTCTAATTTATGGATGTGACACATGGTCATTAGGAATAGAGAATATTCGTAGGTTACTGTTATTCGATCACAGTTTTCTTCGAAGCACTGCCTGGGTTAGGAATAGGGTACTGAGTAAGGATGGCAAATCGATTGACAACGTAGTAAATCTTCATCAATCGAGGTGGTCGGGGCATGTCCAATCATAGATGCCGTTGTAGTTCTGCTCGCTCATGTTGAGACCACCGAGTGGGCATAGTTGAGTTTAGATTAAGTGTATTAGGTAAAGATAGCAAACTGGTTGTTGACGTAATGAGTTTTAATAAAATGAGGTTGTTGGGACATGCATTACGTATGTCAAACCACCATATACCTAAACAGTTGTTTACTGTTGTAGGAGGCTAAAGGAAAAGTGGATCAGCCAAACCAAAAACGGGACATCCATCCATGAATCCATTAACGGTTGGATTGAGCCGTCACCTATGGCGAAGGCGAGATATCCATCTATCAATAAAAGGACGAGTATACTGCGCGGCAGTTCGTTCTGTTTTAATTTACGGCTGCGAAACATAGCCATTAAGAGTAGAAGACACTCGTAAGCTACTAATATTTGACCACAGATGCCTTAGAAATATTGCTGGCGTCTGCTGGGATCACCGGGTATGTAATAGGGAGGTTAGACGCGGGGTATTAGGGAATGATGGTAAATCAGTTGATGAGGTTATGAATCTTCATCGACTGAGATGGTTGGGCCACGTGTTACGTATGCCTGAACACCGATTACCACGACGTGCAATGCTAACCGGTGTTCGGGGTGGTTGGAAGAAAGTTAGGGGCGGCCAAACCAAAACGTGGCATCAGTGCTTGAAGTCACTAACTTCTAGTCTGAGCCATGTTGGTAGATGCAGACTACTTGGTTGGGGTCCGCGTGACTATCGTAACCAATGGTTGGAGACTCTTGGTGGCATGGCTCAGAATCGATCACAATGGCCTCGGTGTATACACTCTCTATCTTCCCTCAAACTAAGAGATTAAAATTGCTTCACATCTTTCTTTCTACGAACTAATTCTTTCTTCGTGTACTATATCCTTATTGCAATCTTTCTTTTATATATTACCAAATCTGAATTAACTACTTTTATGAATCCGGTGTCCATCTTGTTGTGTTAATGAGGTATGGCAACTTGGACCGATGCATATATGTGCCTGGTCCTACGTTGTAGCTGACTGACTGGATTGAGCCGTCTAGGTAGGTGCAGACTACCTGTTTAGAGTCAACGGCATTATCTTTTCCTATTATTGATGTTTGGTGACATGATTCAAAATAAGTGGCAACGGTTCAGATGTGTCTACTTTTTGTGTTTCCTTAAGTTTTACGTTTTAAAGTTACCCCTTACTCTTTATTCTGTGGATAGTTTGTTCTCGAATTATATCATTGGTGTGAAATCTCTTTTAATACCACTGATACGGTTACTACTGCTACTACTTTAGCATTACTCTTGATAATTTTATCTTTCTGTGTTAATGCGATGCGGCAACTCAAACTGATGTATACACGTGTCAGTTTCTACGTTGCGTGTGACTGAATGATAAAAGTTAACATAATTCACGGGAAAGGCACATAAGGAACTGGTATTAATTCAGTACACAAGGACAGACAGGCATTAGAATGATTCATATATGCTTAGAAAGCAAAATAAATTTATGTCCAGACCGAACTTGACGTGACTCAACCGACAGTGGAACAGGAAACAGAGGTGGAAATATGAGGGCGGGTGTAGAATGATAAAATATCTATAATGTGTAGTAAGGTTAAGAAGAATGCACCCATGATTGGTAATTTTAAGTTCTAAAACACATTTCAGTCGTTTCGCTAACCTTAACCAGAAAGTTCGAATTCTTCCATATGGACAACACTCATAGTTAAAGGCCTCAGTTAGTACTATATGCTGGTTTTATCACTGCTTATTATAAGCCCACTTCTACCAATACATGTAAAAAAGGAGGACTACTTGTTTGTAAATAATTAATGAGATGCGACCTATGTGCAAGTCGATGTACTAAGCTGAAGCGCAGTTTGAAAGTTTGGAATAATACTCCACTACGGCAACACCTGAACCCAATATCCAATGGATGAATTCAAAGCTTGGATGGCTAAGTAACAGCCCCACATATGTAGTGAGAACAACCAAAACTTAGAGCAACAAGACATAGAGCCTGTGTAATTATTGGATTTTACAAATTAGTTACCAATTTTAAAAGTTACGGAGCTGACTAACTATATATACGTTTGTAAACTAAGTATTCAGCCATACATATTTTGTGGGTGAGACTGGTTTATGGACAAACTAATCAGATTTTAGAAAGTAGGTTTTGAATTTTGGCGTGAAATTCATCCATTCATATGCTTAAATAACATTTTGGCATCATAGTCGATATCAGCTGATATCACGGTCTAGACCGTGATTAAAACCCTAACTTCTAAGTTCTAATATCAATTCTGATTTCCCGCACTAATTGATAACTCTCTGTAGACCTTAAGAGGTGGGTGAGCTTTCTTAGTCATTTAGGTGACGTTTGAAGGTCATCCATAAATTATAATCTCGTCATTCCAGCCTTCAATTAGAGATCCAATAGCATATACTGCAAGGGTAAAATCATGAAAAGAAAACAGAACGAAGCCACAATTGATTGATCACTGAGTGATGATCGATCTCATGTCTGTCAAGTCCTTTTTAGTGCAGATCGAATGCTATCGACCTACAACTACCATCTTATCTCAACACAATGTTCAGTCATCTAGACTGGTGGCCACATTGCAACTTGGTCGATAGCATTCGATCTGCACTAAGGACTTAATACACATGACATTGATTACCACCCAGTGATCAAGCAATTGTGATTACATCTCAGTCCTGCAGGAGGTCGATCGCGGTCCGGTTAGCCCAGTAAAGCGAAAGTGAAAACTAAGCATGATTAGTCTTCGAAGGGCTATCATAACACATCTTTTGTTTTAAACCGAGAATCGCTGTTGCCTGTAGACCAGATCTTAAAAGCGGACTTGCTGGGTATCAGAACCCAAGTTTCAATTTAAAATGGTAGTTGGAGGTATTCAACAGGGAACCCTGGACCCGGGTTTCGTGCTACTTGACACTCGTCAGCAAGGTGTACCTGTAATCTTGAGGGAACTGGTGCCCCCCAACGGACTCGATCCCGTGTCACCTTAACACTCATATAGAGCGTTGTGTGATGATGATAAGTTAAGCCACACCTTTGCTGTTAGATGGGCAAACTGGACTTTCTACGTGGGTGGTTCTTGGATGGGCTAGAGTTATATGTGACGAAACGTAAAGAATTGACTAAAATGTTGATTAAGAGCTTGTAGTTTAAAAAACTTCGGACTGAACAGACTTACTTGAGCGTGATGAAGATAAAACTCAACACCTGTCATGCACAACAGTTGCTCAGGATGGAGTCTTTGCATACGAATAACCTCATTGTTACACTGCCTATCATAAAAGGGATTGGAAAGGTCACAAAAATAGTCGAGAACGTTTGCTGAACAAAGGAAGTGACTCCATGCTGGGTTAGACCATGATACACCATATAAATCTTCTTTAACTTGAGAGGACATCAGCAGATGAGTAATAGTCAATTGTTTTAAGCTAGTTGAAAGGTTGGATACTTAGTAATTCTTGAGTTTGTTTTCAACGTCTTTGAGACGGTTCTGGAAGAAGTTTTGCTTTTTACGAAGGTACTTTAGGTGAAGAATATGAAAATAATATCCACACAAAAATCCAACACTAAACATAAAAACCCCCAGAACCCGCCCCGAAACCATGTAGCCTGCACACCGTATTTTCGCTGCAAAGTAGGTACAATGTTCAAGTGGTTCGAATGGTTGTGGACGGAATAGAAGCTTTCGCTTAACAGGCTTCCGTATCTAGTAGCAGGGGATCACCAAATCCTCCAGACAGGAACCTAGGTATGTTAACAATAAAAGAGGAAAAGAAATTAGTAAATCATAGTGTGATACTATCCTTAGTCCTTAAGAATAGATAAAGTTGCCTCTTAGAGGACTCCTGGGAAGTTGATTGGACTAGCTCGCTCGGCAGCGAATTCCAGCATTTGACAGCTCTTAAAAAGTAGAAGTTGTGTCTACAGTCCCTTGTTCCATGTAGTGTCTCCCGTTTTTGGGTGTTACCTCTTAGGTTAGTGTTGGAACTAAGCTTAAGTAGGTGTTTGAGAGGATGTCCAGAATGGTTAAGGATACTATAAGCCATCAGAAGGTCACCGTTAGGACGTCTATAGTCTAATGGGTAAAGGTTAAGTGATTGGAAGCGCTCTTCATATGGCTTAAATTTGAGTCCCCGAACTGATTTCGTTGGGTACGCTCCAGAGTGTCCTTATCTTTTTGAAGTGAGGGAGGGAATACTATGTTTCCGTACTCTAAATGAGGACAAATAAAACTGATGGAGATTATGTGGAAAGTTCTTCCGTCAAACTGGTCAAAAATGCGCTTCAATGTCACCAGTGCAAGGTTTGCTCGAAAGGCATTTTTGTCACAGTTAGCGTAAGACTTCAAATCGTAGGGTACCAGGACTCCTAAATCTTTTTCGACTTCGGATACTATTAGAGAGGAGGTACCTAAGTTATAACTGTAGTCCGCGACATGTCGCAGATGAACTACTTTACACTTTGAAGTGTTAAAGGTAAGTCCGTTGTCGTCTGCCCAACTTTGAAGTCGAGTTACATCCTCCTGAACTGCCTGTGTATCGTCTTGGTTGCGTATCTCTCTCCAAAGTTTCACGTCGTCGGCAAAAAATAATAAGTCTAACGTTACCTGTTGAGGAAGATCATTTATGTGAATTAAGAAGAGAAGATGCCCTAGTACTGAGCCCTGGAGGACCCCACTATGACATTCCATAGCCTGAGATTGTAGCGTGGTGTCGAGTCGAGATTGACTTTGAACACAGCCACCGAAAAACACGTGCCAAGTAAATCAGAAGGCGAAGGTTGAACGTAATCAAATAAATCCATAAGATCCCCGAGAAGCCAAATATCAGGAGACAGTTAATGAACCAAATCGAGATATATTCGCTGGCGATCTCGTTGTATCGAAAGGATACCGAGATCGTGCCAGAATAAAAGCTTGGTTACAGAACGTAACCGAATCCGCGCGAAGTCACAATCAAAGTGTAAGAATAAGAATGGAAGCACAAAATAGCTGTTATTAGCACAGTCAAACAAAAGCACATTAAAACAAGTACTAGTACAGTTGGTTATAATAATTTTTTTTATTAAACCAGTCGTGTTCTCGTGATAGATGTGAGTCACTACAAGATAAAGTGAAATTAACCCTGACTTTAAAATGTCGATTTTTCAGGTATGAAGTGAGCCAATCGATTAGAGCTGGTCTGATACCCAATCGTTTGAGCTTATTGATAAGACATGTATGGTTAGCCTTATCAAAAGCTTTTGAGAAATCTAGGTAGATGATATCAACCTTCCCCTTGCAATCAAAGATGCTTGTCCATCTGTCCACCGCAGTCAGCAGGTTGGTAATACAAGATTAGCCCTTCCTGAAACCATGCTGTTGGGGTGAGAAGAAATTTAAGGACAGTAAATAGTCATTTATATCATCGCATATCAAGGACTACATGATTTTTGAGGGTGTGGAGAGAAAGCCAGCGGTCGGGAACTTGAAGGTTCGCTGCGTCGACCTCCTTTGAAAATTGGTGTGATGTGAGCCAGCCTCCAACATATACACTTTTCAATAATTTCAGAAACAGAAAGTTTTTCCCACTTGAACCAAGTAATCTTGTGCCCACATGCTCAAAATGTTCAGAGCAGGTAAATTCTTTTTGATGAAGGTGGTCATCGAGGCTCTCATGTTTTCAACATACGTAAACATTAATCTCCCACCTATGACTATTTCCTGATAGTAGATGAGAGTGGAAAATATAAGATTCTAGCTACACCGTGTTGTATCCATACTGAGACTAAAGACTTTACTTAGCAGAAATCTCAAACTTATCACTGAGAATCTAAGTCCAGATGTATAAAAAGGTTAGTGGTTACGGGGCGATGGGTTTAATTTTTGTCCTTCTCAAATAATAAGGGCAAAATATCAATTGGTAAGGTGGAGGCTAACTAGTTGGTTACAACTAGAGCGATTTGCCTGAATAATTACTGGAATAAAATAAATGTCGGGTTATCTTTTGTAACAATCAGGCCTCCACCATTTACAGTTTGTAACCACGAAAAATTTTGAACAAATTTTTGGGTGTCTTCATTCGCGTGCTTTCTTAAATGGATGTCCAGTTAACTGTAATTCGTGCTGGAGGGTATAACTGGGCTAGTGGAGTGAATGAATGCGCGGAGTATTATACACTGTAATCATTTTCTACTTCATTCTTTTGAATTGTGAAAGTTACATGTTCATTGCCGAAGATGTTACAGATATTCAGAGTTTGACAACTTCTTTACACGGAACACATTTATAAACGAAGTATACCAACTAAGTCAAATCAAAAGACAAATAAAGGGGTCCGAATGTATACTTGGAGAGCATTTGGATGTCGAGAAGTGTTTGGTCTAAGCTGGTGATGATGCCACAGGTATTCGAAGTTTGTCAATGCTTTAACTAGTAACACCTTCTAGTATGGATCGTACCCACCAATCAAGAGACAGAAGCGAGGAGGTTCCAAGATATATTTGATAGGCTATCAATATACCGAGGATCGTCTGATCTAATCTGACTAGCGATTGCAGGGGTTGTTGAGCACGGCGTTCTCACTCGTGATCTGGTGCCGATGCATGACCGAGTGCCTTCAGCTAGGTGAGTCCATAAAAATTAATGTGGTCAGCATTCAATGTCGAAAACTTGCAGAGCTATTTATTTTAATGATTTATTTACCGCTACACTGGCAAACAGTTGCAAAGGACGTGTAGTACGGTGTATCCACTCGTGATCTGGTGCGGTTGCATGACCGAGAACCTTCAGTCAAGTATGTCCAGTACAACGAATGAGGTCAACAACAACGTATAAAACTTCAAAACCTATTTAGTTTTGGTGTTTATTTACTGCTAAAGTGTTATCAGATAAGCTGATAAGGGTTTATCTTATTATTTAAGTACCATGGTCGTCCGTTCTTCTTTGAACAAGCTTCATGTGAATACTATGTAGGAGCTTTTCTCAGATGCAATACTTAATAAACACCGAATAAGGTTCAGAACAGTTAGGCAGTCAAACTATCTAAATTTCCAGAAATTTCTAGGCTTTGTTTTACGATTTATGTGGTATTAGATATGAAGAGTTTGATAGTATATTGTTTGGATCTCTACAAATGAAATGGTCCCAAAGCCAATTAAGCCAAACGTCAATCGTGATCAGAGAAGAGGATGTAACTGATAGCATCAAAAATGGCTACTTGTGTGGGTGGTGTTTTACACGAGGCATTGGAGCGTGATATCATACAAAGCTTGACTAAACACCTCTGGTTGATCACGACTTCGGAGAAATTTATATGCTCAGTAATAATGTCGCTAGGTTACGAAGCTATTTGTATTTAGGATTTGTTTACCACTGCACTACACTTTCTATGAGTAGTGTTGTGAGAATCTCGGTATATGACGAGCCAGACGTTGAAAGCTGACAGGTTTTTCGTTGACAAACATTCTTGGTAGCCAGGTTCTGCAAGTCTACGATATTTATGCCAACCTAATTTGTTTTACTAGACTCATCCTAACTGAAGACCCTCAATCATGCATCCGCACCAAATTATTATTTGGTACATCACATCCCTCACAACAATCAGTGACCTGGACCATATACTTCTCGACTCATCGATAATATTCCGAATCCCTCTACAAATATATGTTCTATACCTTATGAAAAGACATTTACATGAATTATTGGTTTCGAAGTAATTTCAGAAAACCACTTATGATATATCATAAAAGCCTCATCTAGAAAATTGCGTATAATTTAGGCTAATCTTTCGCGGACATGATTACTGTCTATACAGTTTTATGGCCATTTATCTGCCTCCAGGTTAATCGTATGAATGATTGTTATTGATATATACATCCCCGCTCCCCTCGTATATAATCATTGACTTAGATCGCATTGATGAGTAACTGAATTAAATAAGTCGAATACGAGAACGAATCTCAAATATATACATTTCATACAATCGTTGATCTGAATAGACAATCAGGGAAGAGCAGTGAAGTTAGCAAAGAGGAGAGAAACGAAACGAGTCGGAGGAAACATGCGAGCCAACTCCAGTTTACCAAGCGTGAATGGATATTCATAGTAAAACAAAAATAGGTCACAAACGTTTGATGAATAGGGTAAGCAATACGTGAACACACCATCATAAAAGAAGTCATGGTTAGTAAGCGAATTAGTGACAAGGTCAAAATGTAGCTTGAGAAGAGTGAATAAATTGGTATGTGCAGAAGTTGGAATAACCTATATGGGCTCGGCATAGCATCAGCCACTACAACAGTAATAGAGGGAAGTTGCTAACCCTGGTTCGAAAATTTTCCACACTGCATGTCTCATTCCATGTACACTTGGATATCAAAAATCAACTTTGTCAATCGCCTAGTGTCTATCAATCTTTGCCTCATAAAAGAACTCGCTTCTTTAAGTTTTGGATTGTGTGTGTCTCTATCAATACACTTTTGAGTACTTCGTGACCTTTAGAATTCACGCTTTAGAAACCAACGGATTCGTTACTGTCGTGAATAACTGTTTCAGATATTTTGCACACCAAATACTACTTTTTCCTACCACATTCAAATAACATAATAACCGCGATTCCGATTCTCTGTAGTTACCCATATAGATCTAGTTTTTTATTACTAATCTTCATTACAACTCAGTTATGGCAGTTAAGTACTGCCAGCGTACTCCAGCATGATTCATCTAACCAGT